TGAGTGTCGTCGCAGCATTGGTGCGTGTTGCATGGGCGATTACTGTATGGATGGTATTGGTGAAGAGGGTTGCTCAGGTGAGTTCTATGGAGACAAGAGCTCGTGCATGGACTTTGAGGAGCAGTGCCGCGCATCCACAATGGAGTCAAGTACGACAGTACACAGTACGAGTACATCGGACTATACTACCAGCAGTTCTACTGACATGAGTAGTTCAACAGACTATACTACCAGCAGCTCTACTGACATGAGTAGTTCTACAGACTATACTACCAGCAGCTCTACTGACATGAGTAGGTCAACAGACTATACTACCAGCAGCTCTATTGACATGAGTAGTTCAACAGACTATACTACCAGCAGCTCTACTGACATGAGTAATTCAACAGATATGACCACCACATCATCAACTGACACCGTCACCTCGACCAGTGAGCAACCGTCGACGTCAGAGACCACGGACCCTTGCGACCAATGCCTGGAGGATGAGCGGTGCATCATCGATCCCATTACAGGCACGGCCCAGTGTGTGCCTAAGGACAGGTGCGGGTGCAACTGCCAGGACAACTCCATCGCCGACGATAGCGCGTCTGTCTGCATCGATGACGAGAGTGGCTTCTCCGACATTGCAGGCTTTAACACACTACCCACACTGTTTGACCGCCGCCGAACCGAAGAAGAGGAGCCGACCATCTGCATCGCACCCCACAAGCAGAACAAGGTGTACGTCGTCTGCTTCCACGGAGAGCGTGACCACGGCACAGTGGTGGCCAAGTGTGCGTACATCTTCGACAAGTGCAAGCGCGCGTACGGCAACAACTCGTGTGTCAAGGTCAACAACCCGTCCAAGGATCAGCTAGACCGCATCAACAGCCGCTGCCGCAAGGGTGCGGTCATTGTCGTCACCCACTCCACCCCCACCCACGACACCACCTGCCCATACGACGTATGGGACTCAGACCTGACCCCCACAGACATCGCCACCATCTTCCCAGACACCTGGGTCATCTGGAACGGCTGCTTCGGCTGGGGTATTGCGGCGCAGCCCAACTGCTCCAACATCATCCCGGTACAGGGCGTAGACGGGGTGCTGCCAGTGGATAATGAGAACTGGATCGAGGTCATGATACTACTGGAGAAGATGGCCAATGGGCAGCCGTACAGCCAGGACGATGTGTGCGAGGCACTGTACGGCCACAACAACGACGCCGACCAGAGACGCCGAGCGGGACGGGGCAGGGCTTATAGAGAGGAGATCTGGTACTAAATGGGGGACAGCCCATGCAGCCCAGACCATTGGGTGGAACTGAATAGTCAGCCATTAGGCAGTAGGGGTGCATGTTACTGTACGCAGCAACTGAGATGCAAAGAAGGTCTGTGGCAATGCACAGAGCACTGCACCCGGCGACAAACGTGCAGGGCTAGACACTGAACAGATGATAGTCAGGTACTGAATGGGACCAAGTTGTACGTAGATGTACAACGACCGGCCCCAGCCGATATAATTAGGATGATGAAAGAGTGTGTATGTCAATATAGTAACAAATAAACAATATCAAACATACTAAAGTACTATCAAACATGATAACAACAAAGAAATAATATAAAACATGTAACGGTCCTTTCAAGCCAGAACAAACAAACAATTTAAAACATACTAAAGTACTACAATGACGGACGGCATTGGTCAATGAACAGATGACGGCACAAATAAAATAAATGAAACATGTCCTTCGTAGACACACAATGACCAACCCCAGCCACGAACAGAAGAAACGGTTGAATAGACTGTTCAATATGTATAGATATTATAACAAACGACTACTCAGTAGGTATAGATACTATCATATAAGTCTACTCAATAGGTGCAACAAGTATAAAAATAGGTATAGATATTTGCATACAAGTCTACTCAATAGGTACAGCAAGTATAAAAAATAGTTATAGATATTATCATATAAGTCTACTCAATAGGTACAAGAAGTATAAAAATAGATATAGATATTATCATACAAGTCTACTCAATAGGTATAACAAGTATAGAAAAGGTATAGATATTATCATATCAGTCTACTCAATAGGTACAACAAGTATAGTAAT